CAGGGTCTCACTGAGTTGCTAAGTTACCCAGGTTAGGCTTAAATTTTCAATACTCTTGCCTCAGCACTCCCTAAGTGCTGGGATTACTGATGTATGTTACCATGCCTGGCCCCTTTTTATTTTAACTCTGCAACAGGGTCTTGCTAAATTATGTAGGCTGTCCTTAAACTTGCAATTCTCTTGACTCAGCCTCTAAAGTATCTGGAACTACCAGACAGAATATTTGCATAACCTATAGCTAGAATATTCACTTCTTTATTTGTTTCTGTCTATGTTGCATTTTCCCTGTCAATCATGTACTTCAACAATATCAAGAAAATGAAAGAAATAGTCCCTACTACTACTGCGTCCCTGAAACCTCACATTATTTGGTCCTTCAGCCTTAAAATTTTGCCAATAATTATTCCTGAACAGATCCAATAGAGTCTATAAAATGCATTAAATTCCTATACATTTATAAAAACTAATCATTAAATTTTACCTTTCAAAAAAAAAGCTGGGTATGGTGGCACACGCCTATAATCTCAGCACTCAAGAGGCTAACGCTGGATAATCACCGTGACTCCAAGACCAACCTGAAAACCTAGCAAGACCCTGTCTCAAAACAAAACAAAAAATAAAAATTTTTTAAGAAGATTAGACATAGATCTACAGACAAGAATTCAGAAATAAATTCTATAGTCAACTGATTTTTAATTTTTTTGTCATTTTGAGACAAGGTTTCACTATGGAGTTCAGACTGGCCTTGAACTTACTTTGTAGCCTAACCTGAGCTCCAACTCATGACAATCTTCCTGCCTCAGCCTCCTCAGTGCTGGGATTACAGGTGTGTGCCATCATGGCTGGCCTTCAAGTTTTAAATTAGAGTAAAACATTGATTGCTAATAACTTTTTCTGCAAGTGTACCACATGAAGAGCAAATATTTCTAACAAATTTTAACTTGATAAACAAGTGATATCTTGCAATACAAGTAGTACATGATGCTGAATGTTACATGAGCATATCTGAACCAATGGTTTGTTCTCTCTCTCACTACAGGATTGTGGATGATCGTCTCCCAACAGCAAGAGGTTATGAAGGTCTGATCAACAGAGTAGGAGGAGAAAAAGGCAGAGGAGTCCCTCATTTCAAATGAGATTAGGGA